CCGTTCCCACCTGTCAAACATATTCATTATCACATCTCCTCACATCAGAGACGACACAATCATGAGGTAACACAGTTATTCTTTGGGTTCAAATACACCTGGAAAAGATAAGAGACGTTGTATTTTAGAACACTTTCAGACATTTTAACAAAGCTTTTTACCAAAAATCTTTCCTAATTTAGAAACAGATATATAGATTATAGATATATATAGCTGTTATGCACCAGTCACTCTTTTTGCGATTTCCTCTCATCAGGGGCACCAGCTGCCAGCTGTGCTTAAGTTAAACTTTAGCTTAGTTGTGGCATAAATTGGCACTAGGTTACTAAATATTTGGTAACTAAATATTGATGGGATCTCAAAAAAATGATATACACTACTGTTTGTGGTCTGTAAGATTTTTTCAAATGTTTTTGAAAGAAGTCCCTTATATTATTTGCAATTGTAATTATTTGTAATTATTCCTGTGATGGCAAAGCTGAATTTTCAGCAAGCTTTACTCCAGTCTTCAGTGTCACATGATCCTTATCTATCTATCTATCTATCTATCTATCTATCTATCTATCTATCTATCTATATGTGTGACCCTGGACCACAAAACCAGTCATAAGTGTACATTTTCCAAAATCATCATGAAAGATGATCATACATCATCTGAAAGCTGAATAAATAAGCTTCCCATTAATGTATGGCTTGTTATGATAGCACAATATTTGGCAGAGATACAACTATTTGAAAATCTGGAATCTGAAGGTGCAAAAAAAAAAAAAAAAATCAAAATATTGAGAAAATCGCATTTAAAGCTGTCCAAATGAAGTTCTTTGCAGTGAATATTACAAATCAAAAATTAAGTTTTAATATATTTACGGTAGGAAATTTACAAAATATCTTCATGGAACAGTATCTTTACTTAATATCCTAATGATTTTTGGCATAAAAGAAAAATCGGTAATTTTGACCCATACAATGTATTTTTGGCTATTGCTACAAATTTAACCGTGCTACTTAAGATTGGTTATACTGACACCAAACCTTTAAATGGACATTTATATATGATTTAATGGTAACACTTTAGATTAGGGAACAGATTAAGAGTTTTCACTCAATAAACACCTAATTTGCTGCTTATTAATAGTTAGTAAGGTAGTTGCTAAGTTTAGGTATGGGGTAGGATTAAGGGATCTAAAATATGGTCATGCAGAATAAGACATTAATATGTGCTTTATAAGGACTTATAAATAGCCAATATGCTAGAAATATGCATGGTAAGTTAATAGTGAGAATTGGTCCTTAAAACAAAGTGTTACCGATTTTAAAATCTCTTGAATATAATAATTTTTGTAACATTGTGAATGTCTTTAATTTACAATTTACTGCATCCTTGCTTAATAAAAGAAAGTCTAACTGACCCCAAACCTCTAAACAATATTTTATATATAATGTAAAGTCAAAATAAATATATATAATTTATTGCCCATTATTATTTTTAGATACAGTTCCATGGTTTCATTTTTACACACAGAAATAGCCTTTTTAGTTTATATATTGTATTATAATTTACTTGACCGTTTATTATTACACATGGCAAAAGATTTTACAAAAAATGTACAGCTTTTCAGCACTACTTCTGTTAACAAATGTGGAGACTTCTTATTGGATCAATAAAAATAAACAACGTATTATGTGACTGTGAATCTATTTAAAGAGATCTTATGACCTGCTAGCCAAGTACTGTCTTAAGAACAAATTGTGAAATCAAATTAGAAATTAAGAACAAACTAAATAGTTACTGAACTCCAAGTGTGAACTTTACATACCAGTTCAAGAAAGACCACCTGAACAGCTGGAGTAATCCAACTAAAAACAACCACACTTTTTTTTTTCACCCTTTTAGACTGTTCAGGCAGTGCCCTTGTCCAGTGGTTGCCCTTCTAAAGAAGTGTTTGGAGAAAAGGACAGAGGCAGGACAGAGGCAGGACAGAGGGACATGGCGTGTGGTGAGATAGACAGAGAACAGGGGCCGCCTACCTCATCCCTCTCCTCCCATCACAGACTTTCTTCTATTAAAGTTATTTATTTCTTCTTTCTATTTTAAGCCTATTTATGCTGCAGGCGACTCCTCATTATCTGCCTGCGGCTCTGCAGGGACAGGAAAGGATCCCCTAAAAAACCGAGCAAGGGATGACCCTGCCCTCCCTCTCATCCCCCTCTTCTCTCCACGCACTGCTAAATTGCCTATTATTTCTCCATTTCAGCCCGTCTCGTGTCCCCTCTGTCGGCACATTAATGACAGGCGAGGAGAGCGTTGACGCGCTTCTCCTCACTGTGCAGACGCTCATTAAACAGAGAGGATGCTTAATGCTGTGGAGCTGAGCAGTTTAAGAAAACACAGTCAGAGAAGACGCTGTCTGCCTGGATTCCTCTCCGACTCACTCAATGACTTTTCAAGAGCAAAGCAGATGTGGCACCCCGTCCAGGCCCCAGAGGACAACATCTCCCACAATTCCCTGTGAATATGCAGATAGTTAAAAGCATTGCCAAGCTGTTGATGAAAAATGAGAGGATTGGTGTGGCAGGCATCCCTCTGTCCTCTCGTGTCTCTGCGGACTCAAAGTATAGAATTAAACGCATAAGTGCATTGAACACTCTTCAGTGTATGAGAGTGTATAAGAGATATACTTTTGGTTATATGTGGCCTCAGCACATTTCTTCTATAATTTGTCTTCATAATCAGTACCAGACATAAAGGCATTTCTTCTATGCTAACTATATTCAAAGCCTGCAAAAAGCATAGTGAATGTGAACATTATATATGAACACTGATATAATGTTCATACATAAAGAACACTGATATAATTTTGCAGACTGAACAACACTGATATAACACTTCATAGGAAGTGTAGAGGGAAATTTACCACACTGTAGTGTGACTAAATGAGCAGAATATGTAACTATTACAGTACCATATATATAATAGTTAAGAAACAAATTCGGTATACATACTTACAGTATGTATACCGTATATGTTTCTTAACTATTATATATATGCAAATTAATCATTTATTGTCGTTCTAAACATTTTGTTTAATTATTAATGATTTAAATGTTTTTTATGAATTATTAATATTGATTCTTGTAAATCTATTAATATATAGTATATTTTATATACATTACCGTTCAAAAGTTTGAGGTCAGTAAATACTTTTTTTTTTTTTTTTACTTTTGAACTTCTTTGAACTTTTTTGGATATTTAAAAATTTCTATGCATTAAAGAATCCTGTAAAAAATGTATAAAGGTTTCCACAAGAATACTATATGATAACAATAAGAATTTGTTCTTAAGGCACCAAATCAGGACATTAGAATGATTTCTGAAGGATCATGTGACACTGAAGCCTGGAGTAATGGCTGCTGAAAATTCAGCTTTGTCATCACAGGAATAAATTACATTTTAAAATACATTAAAATTTCTATATAGGGATGACTACAAGGAAATTAAAGATCAGATTAGCAGAACATAAGAATGCCATTCGAGTTTGTAACCCTTTGTATCCTATGGCCCTTCATTATAAAGAGAAAAATCATGGTAGCCCAAGTACATTGAAGATAATCGGAATAGAACATGTCCCCAGGTCAATAAGAGGAGGTGATAGGGTTAATAGGCTTTTACAGAGAGAGTCTTTCTGGATCTGTACACTGAAAGCAACTAAACTTCCAGGCTTAAATGGGGAATTAGACCTTGTACGTTTTTTGTAATAAGAATTCAGATCTGAAAATATTATATTGTTGATCTTGTTTTTTTTTTTAAAGAAATGTATACTATGTACATTATTGTATACATACATACATTGATTTGTAGAGTCTGATTTATATATTTATGTAATTTTCCTTCTTCTTTTTTTTTCTCCTGTATACTATGATTATATTGTGTTTGATTTAATTTGATATGTAATCGTCGAACTTCCTCTCTTCTGTTTGTCCTGTGTAGCACGACCAGGTGATTGTTATTTGACTAATTAATTGCTGCTCAAAATGAACTCAGACTGTGTTTGTTACTCGCACCCCGAGGAAGGCAAAATATCCACAACGCGTAGGTGTGCACTTGTCAACTGTTTTTAAAACTTATAGCCATGATGAAATCAAGGCTTTTTAAAACTTTTTGAGTAAGATTCGAGTGCCTTGGACTACTATTATTCTTACAAGTTGAATCATCCCTTGCACCCAAAGAGCACCGAGGCAAGAACCCTATATCCCATGCAGCACTTCTTTTGCATTCTTTATTTCATAGAAAACCTTTATTTTGAATTGTAATAATATTTCTCAATATTACAGTTTTTTATTGTATTTTTATTTTAAATGCAGCCTTGGTGAACATATAAGAGACTTCTTTCTAAAACATAAAAAACTAAAAATATTACTAAACTTTTGAGTAAGTATAGTGGTTTTTAAGTATGGTAATTTGATCGATATTTACACAACTATACCACATACCTCTGCAGCTCAAGTTGTTGTCTGTTTAATGACAACGCAGGATATTCCAACTGAACGGTTTTGTTGTGAAGTGAACTTCTATAGATATCCCCTGTTCAGGACCCTGTGAAGGGAACACAGCTTATGTTATTCAGCAGCAGGCTGGACAAGAGCATCACAAGAGTAAGTAGAAATTGTACCTGCTGTGTCAGCCAAGTGCTGCATCAGTTGACCCGCTGTAGTGGCACACTGTGCATCTTGACCTGCACTGCAGAGACATACCCATCTGTCAATCACTGTGTCAGGGCATACAGTCTGCAGTGACCCCTCTTGCATAGCCTCCGACCCCAGCAGGGTCGTGTACTGCAGTCTGCATCATTGGTGTCAGCACTGTAATGTGACAGAAGGTCCTTCAGGGTGGCAATGGCACTCATTTCACTGTCAAATATTTGTAGATTTTGTTTGCTAAAAAACATGTACAGTATGCATCTGTACATAAAGTTCCACAATGATCCTTACAAACATAAATACATGCATATTTTCTCAATACATACTCATATGCAAGCACAATCTTATAGAGAAAAACATGGGTGTATGCACTAATTTTCAGAAGTGGCAATTGTGCAAATAAGTGCTGGCAACTAACTGTGGTATGATTAAAAACTGCCACTGGGTGAAATTACACAGGAGTCTAATCAGCCAGACTGCTGAATATCAGCTGGGGTCTAGGTGAAGTCTTATGAGTTATTTAACCACTAAAAGAAAAAAATTTTTTGCTCAGTCCACAAATCATTCTTAATTATTATTCTGCAGATTCATAACAAAGGGAAATATTGTAACGAGTCGCCGCTGTTCTTTGTACTTTGCGAGAAGGTGAATACTAATTTTTCAGCCATACATTTGCATAAATTCACATCTCTTTAAGCATGCATTCCCAAATGTGATAAAGCACTTGCTGCAAAACAAATAAATAAATAAATAAATAACAAAGAAAGGGGGATATGAGAAGGGTTAAGGGTATAGGAAGACAAAAAGAGAAATTAGAGGATAAAATGAAAGAAAAAAGTGCATATGCGAAAGACAATAAAGCTGTAAAGCTAACATTGAAAACAGGGGACCTCATACGGAAGAATAAATGAATATGATATGGATATATATGAAGTGGAAGGAGAGCAGGCGCATGAGGATAGCAGATTTACGAGATATAGAGTGGAGGGATCAGATGGAGGGATGAAGTGATAAGTGGAAGAACGAGTGAGGCACTCTGTTTTTACAGCGGCAGTCAAACAATGACGTTCCACCTTGTTTAGAGCCGAGTGGGGACGGCCCAAGGCATTTAACTTTTACAGCACAGATGATGGAAGGGGTGTGTAAGTGTGTGTGTGTGAGTGAGCGCGAGACATCATACACCCTGTCTTAAAGCACTATGCTTTCTGTCTTAATCTTTCATTCATTATGCACGTGCAAATCTGTAGCCTCGTTGACATAAATACACATTCGAAAGTTATTGCTATTCACAGGCCTCTAGATCTATTTCTATTACCAAGACAGACAGACACACACTCACACACACACACACACACACATAGGCACGCAGAATCCCTGATGAAAGTCTCCCACACTTCAGGGTAAATGTCATGTTCCAGTGTAGCAGAGATATATGGCACATTAAAAATGAATGGAGAAAGGTGGAATGTCTTGGATGGAACATAGTGTTATACCTTGCAGTGCTTTCTCTTTGGCATACCCGCTGAATTTTCCCTTCTCTGTTTATCTCTCTCGCTCTTGTCCTGTATCTTACATTTCAACAGTCTGTTTGTTTTCAGGGGTCACGATGTGCCCTGGCATTATGATCAGCACTAACACAGCAAACTCCCTTTCAGCTTGCTCTCACAACACCAGGTGACCTTTATAAAATCTGTAAAGATCACAACAAATATCTCCAAAAGATTTCCATATATAGAGACCCTCCAGGTCACACATTTCATTATGTAAACTGCAGCAGCAATCATCTATATCATGTTTTTTTTCCCTCTCTCTTCATCTGCTTTACTCTTAGTTCTTTCTCCTATCCGTCTTTCAGGGCCTGCGTGACACGGACATAAGAGAACTGTGGCAGCAGGGGGCAATTTCAAATCGCATTCCACTCATCAAACAGTGAGAGAAGGCGAGGAAGGTCACGGTGAGACGGGATATGGGAAAGAACAAGGGTTGGTCATGATGACTGTTTGATCCAGGAATGAGAAATGGAAACAAGAAAGTGGATGTCCATCAGAAGAACGCACAGAAGAAGATGGGAGGAAGAAAAGACACAAAGAAAGAAGGAGAGAAAGAAAGAATGATATGACAGGATGCTTGTTTAAATTCCTGCATATTAAAACTTGCCACATTTTGTTCAATTATGAGACTTGTTGAACCAGTTCTTCGGTGTCACTTGGTCGATGTCAATACGCGTTGTGACCTGGCAAGTATGAATATGCGTATATGTGCAAAGAAATTCAGTTTTTTTTTTAAAATTAATAACAATTCATAGATGCAATACCTTGTATATCTTTTTTAAAATATATGTATAAATTAGTTTTTAAGTTAGTATATAAAAATTGTTCAAAATCATTTACTATATTCAAAAATATGTTTGCTCTTAAAGTTGTGATCAAACAGAAGAGGTGACAGATGTTTTCTTCCATATTGTGACGTACATTTGAGTGAAACTGATTATTGAAAAAGAAAAACTGTAAAGTGGAAACTTGGTTCAATCCATCAGTTGTTGATTAGATGAAAGCATATCTGAAAGCGAGCTTGCAGTCGACTGTAATGAAGGGGCGGAGTCTAAGGGGATTGGAGCAAATGATTAAAGAAGTCTGGGTCAAAAAATTGTAAAGGAAAAAAAAACCTAAACAAATGCAAAATGTTTGCAATAAGATCAATTATTAGGACGATTCCAAGGGCTCTGGTCAGAGAGGAGGCCCAACATAAAATTTAATAAGATTTCTATGAAATGAATCAATAGTATTTATTTAACAATAAACAGCTAATAGAAGCAATAATGATAGAGTTCTTTGGCGTAGGCCCCATCTATAACTCTAATCTGGAGGGTTGTAGATTCTAGCTGTTCCTGTCTGAATAAGAAGGCAGGGGCGGAGCCTACCACCCGATGCATGGACAGGGGCTGACCTGGTGGTGGTGGGGAGGATGGAGGTGAACGTTAATGTCAGCATCTGCTAGAGAACTTTATATACTCAGAGTGTTGAGTGATTGGCTAGATCTAAATGTAATGCATGACGTAGCTTTAAGTCTTCCCGGTAGAACTTGCGCTAAAGCTTCCATTTATCTTGAGGTAAAAATCGCGATAGAGAACCCAGATTTTAGTAGTCTACCATTACATTTTGATCTGTTCGCCATAAAAAATAAATTCTTCAAAGCATCTCCTTTTGTGTGCCATGGAAGAAATAAATTCATACAGGTTTACAATTACCATTTTTAGATGAATTATTATGTTAAAATCGTTATCGAAACAAGCCTACTTCAGAAAATGGATATCTATCTTAATTTGCATATTAGTAGATAACTGCTTCAGGGCACGTTTTAACAATATGGAGGCGATGTCAAGAACAAGAGACAGGTGATGTCACGCCGGTGAGCATATAAGGCCAGAGCAAATCACAAATGGTGGCAACTAATAATCGTCTGCATTCACGACCATCTCTCCTCATCTCCCTGTCTGAACGCTTCAGCCTAAAGCGGGTGCCGCGAGAGCATGTAAAATTCTCTCCTCTGGTCCGTAGACATACGCCACCCTCGCCGATAAAGACTGATGCTCTGACTGACTTCCTCAACAGTGCCAGGACGCAAACATAGGTCAAGAGACGCCTCTGTTGTTGCCCGACTCATCTTGACAGGCAGGTGACAGAGATTAATAGCTCCTCTATTGACTGACTAACTTGCAGTTCCTTATCGTTGGCTTGGCCCAAGTGCACAGCGCTGTTATTAGAGGTATAATTGCAAAGACATTTAGAGCATTTCCCTTCAGGGATGGTGGAATCCAATAAAGCTTTCATAAGAGCCGAGGCGAGATGAGGCATGGTGCTCCCCGCACACACACACAGTGGCAACGGAGGACGAAAGATGGGAGAGATCCTGTAAAATTGTCTGCATCAAGACAATAAGTGATTTATGGTGCATTGCACAACTCTGGTAAAGCTGATTTATTAAAAACGCCACAAGGAATCTGTACATATGACAGCTGTCCTGTCAAGTACGCCGAATAAATGTGAGCTCTGCCCCAAACATTGTCTGCATAAAAATATATAGTGTATGGCATTATTTCAAGGTTGGTAAACATGAATATGTATCTGAAATAGTGTGTGTGTGTGTGTGTGTGTTGATTTGACGGGTGTGTAGGTGGAAGATGAAACAGGAAGGGCTGCTGAATATGCAAGAATAATCTGGGCCCTAACTCAATTTTGCAGAAATGAAGTTAGCCACCTCAGGCGAGCGAGAGCCAGGGGTCAGAATGGGCCGTGCCCTCCCTGTCAGCAAGCAGACAGGACATAGGGGACACAGGGAGGCGCTGACCCCCCCTCTGTCCAGCCCCACCAGGACATCACTGACACCTGAGAGCCGACAGAAACACTGCAATTTACATTTACCCAGAAGGAACAATCCATCAAAAACAGTGCTTATTCAAAAGAGATGGGAATCATTAAGAACTTAACAATTCCAATTCTGGTTCCATAATAGACACATCAACTATTATTTTTGTAATTTTAAGGAATAAACATTTGGGAAAAAAAGAAATGTGACTCCATTGTCAAATGATGAGGTAATTTTAAATAAATTCACTAAAAAGAACTGCCTCAGAGTCATTCAGTCAGGAATCAAACTACACTGGTTTAGATTCACTAAAAAGAACTGACACCCGTGATTTGTTTGGGAATAGGACCTGGTTGTGTTGTATGATTCTGTTTCACCAAAGAGAATCGGCCCATAAAAGTAATACTTTCCAGAACTGAACTATACTGATTGCGTTGTTTTGTTGTTGTTGTTTTTTTTTCAGTAAAAGAACTGACTCATAAGAGTGATTTGATTCGGAATCAGACCACACTAAAAGTATAACCTTTAGCTATTGTCATATGAACAACCAGTATGTAACTACACTGATTTAGGTCTCACAGTTGAAAGTTATTTGTGTTTGATTCAATAAAAAGAACCAACTGATTAGAGTCATTCATTCAGGAATCAAATTACACTGAGTGCGTTGTATGTTTAGATTCACTAAAAAAATTGGCTCATGAAAGTAATTTGTTCTGGAATCGAACTACACTGACTGTATTGTAAATTTTAAATTCACTAATCAGATGAGACTCATAAGAGTGGTTTGTTTGGGAATCAGACTACACTGGTTGTGTTGTATGATTTTGATTCACTAAAAGAATCGTCTCATGAAATTAATTTGCTCTAGAATTGAACTACACTGACCGCATTGTATATTTTTTTAACTAAATAGAACAAACTCAAAAGAGTGATTCGTTTGGGAATTAGACTGCACTGATTGTGTTGTATGTTTTTGATTCACTAAAAAGAATCAGCTCATATGAGTCATTTGTTCTCGAATGAAATGACAAGGATTGCATTGTATGCTTTTTATTAAACCTAAAAAAGTGGCCCAATAGAGTAATTCGTTCTGTAATTAGACAACACTTCTTGTGCTGTCTGTTTTGCTCTGTTTCAGCATCACTGAATAAATGGAAGAATGCATGTGGGAGAATTGTTAACGTCAACTTGGTTCTGGTATTTTTTCTCAATAAGCATTGGTTCTTGGTTCCCAATCTTACTATACAGTACAGTAATGTGGTACATATAAACATATTAAAAACATGTTGTAATGAAGCTCACAAGGACATAAGAGCAGACAGTCTTATCATCCTGTGGTTTAACACACACTCAACTGAGCTGAAAGCACATTTCTCAAGCATCAGTGAAAAAGTGCATGCTCGCCTAATTTCCGTGTAATCTGGTTAGACTGTGAGCCCTGCTCCGACCTTGTCACACTCTTCACTGCTGTCGTTCTGTTGCTGACACGAGGTGAAAAGCCTGGCATTAATGTAATAAACTAGACATGTGTCTGTATGAGGGTGAGGTAGATGCAGAGGGATACTGAGAAGTGGGTTGGGACAACCAAAGTGCAGAGTTTGTACCGACTGCAGCCTCAGGTTTGAGCCAAGACAGACATAATCAATCAATCTCAGGGTGTCAGTGCTTGTATTATGGCTGCTCCCTTGTTGCAGTAGCTGTCAGATCTTGTCTTTTCATCTCACCCTGGACAGGGATTGGTGTTTGAAGGGTTAAATGAGTCTTTGAGGTCAAAAGCAGATCAGTAATGTCATCGAGTCAAAGTGCAGTTTTATTGGCAGTACTGTAAGCCAATTTAATAGGACTCATTGGTTCAAACAGGGTTATGTTTGATCAATAATCTAAGTAATGTTATAGTTATAGTAATGTTAAAGAACCCGCACCTGCAGAAATCAGAAGCTCTGTCTATTTTCACAGAATTGGAACAGCTCTCATTCTCAAAGCTGTACACACTCCTTGCCCCTTTGTGTTTTTTCGTCCATCTTTATTAATTTACTCTATTAATTTATTAATTTATAATTATTTGCAATGCATTTTATACATGTAATAACTTGAATACACACTCTGATGTGCATGTTTTAAAATTGATTACATTCATTTAGATTTTTTTTCATTCTTGAAAGGAAAACCATATTTTAAGCCTCTTAAAAACCATATAATTTGACCCTTGTATGGAGTTAGTCCAGGGTTGTAAAATGCCATGTGGAGTGACTCCCCAAAAAATTATAATATTCATGAATGAATCATCCATGATGCTTGCAAAAAATAAAAAATAAATATTTTTTTAAACAATAACGCACATATTTTTAGAGTAAATAAATGTAAACTATTGTTGAAAATAAAAGTTTTCTAAAACTTATGAAACCATATACAAAGAGTACATTTCTATGGACATTTTAAGAAATCCTTTTATTTATCATGGACACTTTTATATGTCATTGACCCGACTATTTTTGACTACCAATAAGACCATAGTACCTTCATCTCCACAGAATCTAACACACATTGTTTTTATATTCTGCCTGGGTTTAATAATTTTCTCATCAGCAAAAAGGTGAACAAACAATGAACCTTTAACCAGAACTTTACCTAAGGTGAACTCTGCAATATCCATAATAACCAAAAAGCCAGCGGGAAAGGATTTCATAATGTTGTAGGAGACATAACAAGCCTAATGGCACATACACACCA